TCCTGTTTCTCTGACTGTGACTAACTGGATGTGCTCTCTTCATCCTCTGACATGGGAGCTGGCTCGGAGCTCGTCTGCCTGGCTGTGTGTTTCCTGGACGGGGCCGCCTGTGGAGCTGGTTGACAGTTGCCTTTTGTATCTATGCTTCTTTTTCTATGTCTGCTTCTGTCTCCTTGAACCCCAGTGGGCCTCAGCAGATGGCCGCTCACACTGAGCCTGGTTCTGCTGGAGGTTTCTTCCTGTTCAAAGGGAGTTTTTCCTCTCCACTGTCGCTACAAGCATGCTTAGTGTGAGGGATTGCTGAAGAGTCAATGAGTCGATGCAATCAGCTGGTTTTCCTTAGATAGAAAACTTTGAATCAATCTGACTGGATGATCTGGTTGAACTGGAAAGTGACCTGAAATGACATGATGTGAATTGGAGCTATAGAAATAAACTGAATTGAATTTAATGATTGTTTCATTAATGACAAAATGGGAACTCCCCTTTCTTACGTTGTTTGAACACCACTATGTTTTTGAGAGCACACACATAACAGCCATCAAGGAATGTGAAGAATTGAATTACAAATGAAGACCACAAACGCACTAAATAATTTCCAGATTAACGTTCTGTAGATTTTTCTGCAGCAGATGTTCTCATCTTTCTAACCAGTGATACACATTTAATGGCACAAACCCTTAGTGACATAAAGCTTGTCCAAGCTTCAGCAACAGCTCAACACATATTCCTGTAGCATAGCACAGCATGCAGTCTATTCTTTAGCGTCAATTAGCGTTGTCTTTACTCAGCAGTAAACATGTGAAATGATTAGCATCATCAAAAGACATATTGTTTGTTCTGTCCCTAATCATGCCAGACCTGCAAACCTTTTTCCATGTCCATTTGGAAAGCTGGAGTTCCATCCAGTTGCAGCTCAGCTGTCAGGACAGTAAGACAGGGGTCCTTTGTCTCAGCCGTTCATCAAAGCAGGGAAGTCCTTCTCTCTAGTCTGGCTCTGTAAGTTCTGAAACTCAAGATAAATGTGCTGCAAAAGGTCTGTTTTGCAGCAGTTTGGTTCTGAAAGGTCCTGACTTATCCTTGATGGTTCGGGGAGATCTGGCTCCCCTGGGGCCCGCATCTCCACTGTGGTGGAGATCCAGCCGAGGCGGACCCCAGCTTTGAGCACAGGAGCAGAAGAGATCAGGAGCAGAAGAGGGGAGAATCTTTTGTGCTCTGTGGTTTTGTCTGTCCTCACACAGAGGGGGGTGGTGGTTGGTCACACCTCTGTGACTTGCCATGTGACTTGCCTTTGGAGGCCTTGGCTTAAACGTGGGTTGTTGCAGAGATTCCACAGCTGATTCCACATCATCATGTCAAGATGAAATATGGACACTGGATCCCAATGTCCAAAAAGTCTGATCATGGCATATGGCGCAACAACAGGACTGAGCACTGTTAGGTGCCCATCATCTTTCACCGCTACTTTACCTTACAGGCTCCATGATGGTTTCTCATTCTCTGGTGGCTGTTAATGTCTATTTTTATATGTTTTTTTTTTAAATGTCACAATATCTCATTCAGTCTTGGTCCCTTCTCATTATTCTGTCCCACACAGGCGTCGTTTTCGTTCACATGTTTTGCTGCAGATATTTACAAACTGCTGCAATTTTACCGGGTTGCTGGAACTAAGGCTGCAACGATTATTTTGCAAATGGAATAATCTGTCAGTAATTTTTTCGATGAATAATCGGGTAGAAAAAGGTTTCTCAAAGAATACTTTTTATGAAATATAACCAGGGAAAACTAGTCCGTTTCCACTTGAGGAGTTCTGGTTAGAGCAGATTGAAAGACAAAACAGATTTTTTTAAATTAAATGCAAAATATTTGCATATTTTCTTCTTTTTTTTTTACAATTTTGGTATAATTCCTGCTCTAAGAGGTTTGCTCTATCAGCTAAAAAGCATGTTTTAGAGTCTCTATAGGCCAGTTGATGATTATTTCAATAATCGATTTATCACAATTTATCATAATTAATTATTTCAGCTCTAATCTGAGCATCAGGTGTTACCATAAAAGTTGACTCAGTGAAGAGTGATGATGCTTTGAAATTCTAATCCCAAAGCTCTAAGAAGACATTGCAGGATAGATTTGATTGATTTTCATTTTCTGTCATCTCTAGTTTCTTTTAAACAGGCTGAATAAAGTCTCAGAAACTTCCCCTGCCGTCAGTTTTAGATTGGGTGTGTCTTTGCAGGAGGTAAGTTTGTACATTTGCATTTCCTCCTCCCTGCTGCATATTTTGTCAACAGCTGATGTTTTTCATATTCACAAAGCAGTTTCAGTGTTTCTAAGAATGCACTTTTGTTTGCTTCTGATTAGTAGATCAGCACTGCACAGGCCATCATGTTTGCATGTGTTTCTATACATGCAAACCTTTTGAGGGTTCGGCCCAATGAGGGATATGACCTGCTTATTACCCCTCTAAAAAATCTACACCTTGAACTCATGAATTCTTATGAAACATGTCTGTGAATTATTTAGCTTTATGACACATTTTATGACAAAGACTTTATGTTTAGCAATAAACATGATTCAAGGCTGTTAGTAATAAAACCTCAGGTTTTGTTATCCAGTTTGTTATCAAGCGGTTTTTCAATAGCATTGTGTGACGTTCAGCCATATCAGAGGAAACAATCCACATTTTCTCACAACATCTCCGACTCTTTGAGGGTAAGGTACACATTCACTTTTTAACGCCTAACAATCCTGTATTCTAACAAATTTTTCATGAAATTAACTGCATATCGAGTTCCTTACATCAACGTGGTTCATTTCTTTGTTCTTCAATAAATAAGTTGTTCAGCTTTATGTCTGTTCAGATTTTGCGTAGCTGATATCTGTACATTTTCAACCTTGCATCGTTTACAGTTATGATGCTAATATATATAGATGTACATATTTAAAGTTCCAATTTTGGAATTCAGTTGCAAAGTTGCTGAAAATCTAATAAAAGAATAGTTTTGCATCCAAAGCTTTGACAAATGCAAACCTCCTCAGTTATTCATGGATGCTTGCTCTGCTTCAGGTAAAGGCAGGATTGGCAGGAAGACTCTGTGGCCTGTTCAGCAGAAGTTGATTCAAGTTCTAATTTCCTGCTAAGAACGCCATATTTTTTTTTTCCATAATTAGGGAAAACATGTAAAGCTCCTCATTGTGCTGGTGAAGATTCTCAGTCATCCATGTTAGTCATTCAAAAAAAAGTTACAAAACAATCCACTGGAGTTTGTTTCCAAGTTTCAAGATGTTTTGCTTCCCATCCAGGAAGCTTTTCACTGACTTTCAGAGACATAGACAGGTATGGGGCATTGCAGGCTAACTAAGAAGCCAAACGAGCCCCCATTCCAAAGGGGGGGACCTGTTCATCCGTTTCTATTTGCATGTTTTCTAAACTAAAACCAGGCTTTGTTGGGCTGCTGATAAAACCTGGAACTAAACGCTATTTCTGACATTTTGAACTGAAAAATCTTCCTGGATGGAAGAAAAACGTCTTCAAACTTGGAAACTTTTTTGGGATCAAGCTGCTCATTCTGCTTATCTGGAGTCTGGAAACCTTAGAAAATCCTTGGAACCTTTTCTGAACCAATTCATGTGTTGCAGATTTTTTAGAAGCATATTTTTAACTTTTTAGGTCTACTTCATTTTTCAGATAAGAGCTTGACTTTTATCTGTTAATCCTATTAGTCCTGGACATTAAACAATCGTTTTAAAACTACATTTTTTGCTAACCAATGATGATAATCTGTTACTTTGATATAATCATATGTTTGATGCTCAAAGATGGATCTGTGAGGTCATCATGATCCACTGGGATAGAGCTCAGGGTGGATTCAACGGGTCGCTTAGTGACGTCTTCATACAAGGCAACATGCAGCCCGGGGGGATTTATCATTAGGCAATACTGGGCAGTTGCCTAGGGCCCCAAGTTCCTGGGGGCCCCATGTATGGTTTACATATATGGTTAATACAGCTATAACTTATTTGTGCTTATTAATTATGTTTTTTAACAAAATCCTTTAGCTAAAATGCCATCAGAACGCTGATAATATTAAGTGTGTCTCAGCCCCCCCCCCTTCAGTGTCCACCATATTGGATCAGTCCATTTGCTGCACATGTTCAGAAAGGTCCAAACAGACAGCAGCAAACCATTTGAAAACAAACCATGCAAAGAGCAGTGTTGCCAACTTAGCGCTTTAGTCGCTATATTTAGCCACTTTTCAGACCCCTCTAGCACTTTGATTTCTAAAAAGCTCCTAGCGCCAAATGTAGAGACTTTTTTCTGCTACTGGAGACTTTGGAGACAACATCTAAAAGCAGCGAACTCTGCTCTCCAGAGCGAGTAGATTGGTAACCCCGCCTCCTGCTCTCCTCTATCTTGTCTGCTGTCATGATTCATGCAGCTATTATTTCATCCAAATGAAAAATGGAGAACAGATAAGCAGATCATGGCTTGTCTACAGTGAAAAGAAGGACTGGGTTATTTACTTTGGCCTTTTTGGAAACACAGGAAGGAGCAATCAGCTAAGTGAGCTTAGTGCTTGGAGAAAATCTTTCATTCCTTTAGAGACAGCATGAAAAGTCAGCTGAGTACAAAACATAGAGAGGAAAACAAGAAGAAAAGGGACAAGAAGAGAGGGACACAACCTAGAACAGATAATGGATGTCTATTCTATTAACATTTCTCTATCTGGAGAATGGGGCTGTTTATGTGTTCTCTATTCAGATGGGCCCCTGCCTGTTTTTCCCTAGGGCCCCAATTTTCATATATCCGCCCCTGATTGCATGCATCTGGATTCCAGCTTAATATATATTTTAAAAAAAATTTCCTCATTTAAACCCGAGTTAAGATTGAATCATTAAATGTATCTTTTTTAAGCACTTTGTCCCAAAATAAAAGTATTCTGACTCACTAGTCATTTACCAGAAACGCATCCCACTCTGCTTACGTCACAGCTATACATCCACCGTGGGTTCTGGTTCTGAGCACCTGCTCAAAGTGGGAGCAGAGCTCTGCTCTCTGATTGGTCCACAGCTGATAGCGCGTCTCCAGCCGCTCCGCAGACAGAGCTGATGCCTCTGATGGACAGAGCTTTGTGCGGGAAGCAGCGGGGCTGATGCGGGGCGACATGAAGGTGAGCTTTAATAGAGACGCGGTGGAGGATGAGCTCCTCACTGCATCAGATCCACAGCTGCTCGTTCAGACCCAACCAGCAGGGCTGCTTTCACTGAGCTGCAGGATCATAAAATAATCATCAGTTTCTGATCTAAACAGCTTCATCTGATTTAAAACCTGCAGGCTTTGTTGGTTAGTTTGGTGGAAATCCGTTTGAATGTCGGTGTATTTCAGGATGAATATATCAAACCTACTGTCCGCGTTTTTTCCTGTCGGGTTAAATTGAGCTGATTGTCTGTAAACAGGGAACATTTGTTGACTCGACAGGCAAACAGAGGAGCTGATTATTTACAGCATCCTCCTGCAGGTACCGCTGCAGTCTGCGCTTTGGCTCTGTTCGAAAACCTAGGACGGGTCCTCCAAGGACGCGGTCTACCTAGACTGGATCCTTCGAAGTCCTTGAAAATAAGGAGACCGGAAGAGTTTTGGCTGTAAATTCGACCAGGTCTACCCTTTGGCGGGTTTTACCGCCGTATGCTCTGTTGCTGAGCAACCGTGAACGTTGACACACAAAGCAGGAAAAGAATGAATACAGAAGTTTTTAAAACTGTTTATTTATTTCTTTTTTATTGTGAAGTGAACAAAGACTACATTAACAAGAATCCAGAGTGGAATAAAGGTTCCAACCACCGGGAGCAGGAACAAATCAAATCAAATGTAATGATAGAAACCTTAGTCAGTTAAATAACCTGCTGCTGTCATTCTGCACATCTCTGATGCTGCTGCTATTTTCAAATATCCATTACTGTAAAAATGTCCATAGCTGCATATTGGTTATTTATTCCCCAGTTTTATATTGATAAAACACTTTACAGTATTGTATTGTTTATATTTTAACTCTTCCCTATTATGTTATTCTTATACATTTTTCTAAGGTCCACATTTGTGTGACCATTTTCAATAATCTTTCTGCTGCTGTAAATTTGCCCATTGTGGGAAAATAAAGAGATTTTCTATTCTATTCTATAAAAGGGGTAGAAAGATATAAGTAAATCTAAACAATATATGTATAAAAAATATATCTGCAAAATCTCTAATATTCAACAACAAAAAATAGGAAGTTAAGCATATTGTGCAAAACAGCAATAAAAAGATAAAAATCCTATCAGATTTATAGTCCCCACCCTGCAAATATATTAGAATCTGTCCTTAAATTCCAGCCAAACCCATTTACACAGTAAGGGATTAAAACCTTTAGATAAACCAAACATTACCGCCACATATCTGACTCTATAACCATTAAAACAACTATTTTCATTCATTTCAGACGGAACTATTCACAGACTTGTATTATATTAAACTGAACTTCCAATTTTCACCACTGTTCGGCGCCAAGTAACCTTTACTCTGATCACGGCTTGCTTGGTCTCGCAATGAATCCTGGGATGTCCAAGAATACCGAGGATACATCGGACCCGTCCTTCAAATCGGGCAAAAAGGAGGACGCATTTTAAGGCCGCATAACGAGGACTCTTGGAATCCGACCAGACCTCGGCGCCGCGCTATGACGTAATCGGCCTTCGAATCCGGTCTTCTAAGGATGCGTCCTAGGTTTTCAAACAGAGCACTTGTCTGGTCTGCGGAAGGTGCGCGCGCAGATGGGCAAACCTGAGCATGCATGGAGTCACTGAGGGATTCCCTTTTACTGAGCTCTATGGTACCAATTACTGTCTGAGAGACAGAAAGGAAGATTATAAGGCTGCGAACTGGGCCTCAGATGCGCTGCAGGCAGGGGGCCCTCTGAATGGAGAAGACAACACATCAAACAGACCCATTCTCCAGATATAGAAATGTTAATAGAATAGACATCCATTATCTGTTCTAGGTTGTGTCCCTCTCTTCTTGTCCCTTTTCTTCTTGTTTTCCTCTCTATGTTTTGTACTCAGCTGACTTTTCATGCTGTCTCTAAAGGAATGAAAGATTTTCTCCAAGCACTAAGCTCACTTAGCTGATTGCTCCTTCCTGTGTTTCCAAAAAGGCCAAAGTAAATAACCCAGTCCTTCTTTTCACTGTAGACAAGCCATGATCTGCTTATCTGTTCTCCATTTTTCATTTGGATGAAATAATAGCTGCATGAATCATGACAGCAGACAAGATAGAGGAGAGCAGGAGGCGGGGTTACCAATCTACTCGCTCTGGAGAGCAGAGTTCGCTGCTTTTAGATGTTGTCTCCAAAGTCTCCAGTAGCAGAAAAAAGTCTCTAGATTTGGCGCTAGGAGCTTTTTAGAAATCAAAGTGCTAGAGGGGTCTGAAAAGTGGCTAAATATAGCGACTAAAGCGCTAAGTTGGCAACACTGCTCTTTGCATGGTTTGTTTTCAAATGGTTTGCTGCTGTCTGTTTGGACCTTTCTGAACATGTGCAGCAAATGGACTGATCCAATATGGTGGACACTGAAGGGGGGGGGCTGAGACACACTTAATAGTTGGAGCTCGTCTGCCTGGCTGTGTGTTTCCTGGACGGGGCCGCCTGTGGAGCTGGTTGACAGCTGCCTTTTGTATCTATGCTTCTTTTTCTATGTCTGCTTCTGTCTCCTTGAACCCCAGTGGGCCTCGGCAGATGGCCGCTCACACTGAGCCTGGTTCTGCTGGAGGTTTCTTCCTGTTCAAAGGGAGTTTTTCCTCTCCACTGTCGCTACAAGCATGCTTAGTGTGAGGGATTGCTGAAGAGTCAATGAGTCGATGCAATCAGCTGGTTTTCCTTAGATAGAAAACTTTGAATCAATCTGACTGGATGATCTGGTTGAACTGGAAAGTGACCTGAGATGACATGATGGGAATTGGATCTATAGAAATAAACTGAATAGAATTAAGCTGTTGGGATGATTTCTGGTTGACCGTTGCAGTAACAAGAACTTAATTTCTTTCTTTGAGGATCTAGAAGAGTTTTTCTTGCATGTGAAAGTCAGAAACGGATAGCCGGACCTTTCCCCTCAGATTGTCTGGCAGTAAAGCAGAACCAGATGTTAACTCTATGATTCCTGTTTTGGTCTAACAGGTGTGAAGCTCTTTCTTTAGATTCTTGATAGTTTAACAGAAGTCAAACCTAATAAAACTTCCAATTTTTGCTGTAAAGCCGTGTTAATAACTATGGACAGTCGGTACTTTTGTGTGGCTATCGGTCTGAAGGGGTTTTCACCTTCGACCTCCACTAAAGATACCGAATCTTTTCTCATTATAAACGCAGATATCAGTTATCAGCTATCAGTTATCTGATAGCTGTTAGCTGATAGCTTTCTGATATTTTAGATCTCTATGAAGGTTTATCTGGTTAGATAACTGATGATCAATGTCAAACCATAAATCCTCTGCAGACCTAAATGCAGTTGATCTGATTTGCATCTGTTTTTAATTAACAATGCAACATGTCTTCCTTTTGTTTTGTTTTATATCCTACTTTGTGTTGTCAGAAAAAAAGAGAATATTTAACTATTTTCATGAGATCCTGTTGGTTTGGATTCATATAGCCCATAATAAATGTAATCATCATTTGACAAATATCCTTTAGAGTGCTAAACCGTTATTTGAATATCTGGAAAGTGACTGAGACACAGATATCTGTGAACGTCTCTGGACAGTTCAGAACATTTTATTTTCCTTAGTTTGAGTAACTTTGGTTTAACAAAGTCAGCTTTACGAACTGCTGATCGGTCTGACGCTGCAAGGCTTCCTTCTTTGCAATCTCTCAAAATGTGGTCAGATTTCTGCTCGGTTCAACCAGCAGCTGAGGTATTTATAGAAAACATTTTCCAGATTAGAACATTATGAAAACCAGTTTGTGAACGGACTGGTTCTTCAAACTGTCTGTTTTTATTAGCATTCTGTTTTGTACTCTTATCTGCTATGGGGGTGGAAGCAGAGCTGGGAGAAGCTCACAGATGACCCAGTTAGCAACGGATTCTGTTGATTAATGGTTCAGACCGATCAACCAGAATCAGACCATTAACTACATCCAACCAATCAGGAGGTCCAGGACGTTCATCAAAGAAGATCTTTCAGGGATTGGACTTTTTAAACAGCTGGATGTTTCCTGAGCTTCGGACAATCAAAGGATTGTTTTTGTGATCAAACAAAGTAAAAGAAGGAGTAACATGTTAACAGACAGAACTGTTGCTTCCAATCAACTCTGAGCTTTTCATGACGCCCAGATATGAAAGTGTGTGTTTAGAGTTTCATGACCTAGATCTGCATCCCTTATTTTGACTCCTACTTTCCTCCAATACACTGTTAACCAGATCCTAAACAAAGAAAAATGCTGACTGTCTTAGAGTGAAGACACTAAGGTTTTTTAACCCCTTAAGCCCAGAGGGTCATAGGAGCAAATTCCGCCTAAAATTAGATATATTAATTAAGCAAGTTTAGCTTCCAAACTATAAGTTGATGATACGATTGTTTGTGTTTGTATGATGGAAAGGAATAGAGGAATATTTTTCAGGTGGAGCCAGTATTTTAAATGTCAGCATGCCTGATTTATAGGTGATTAAACACAGAAAAAATGAAAAATATTTATCCTCGCCAAATTAAACACTGCAAAATGCCATGAAAGCCCATTAGAAGCTCTGGATGAACCTCAAACTTTATTGATCCACATCTAGACTAGAAGTCCAGCTGATCTGGACTGAATCAGTTGAAGCATGTTTGTTCCATGAAGGTTTTAGTGGGCAGAGTTCTGGGAGGAAAGGTGATTTAAAACAAGGCCCAAAAGTGGAAAAATGCATTTTTCCACTCATAAAAGTAAGAAAAAAATAAAAATAACGCATCCGTTTTGGTATCTACTTTATCATATTAAGTTACTTTTACACAATTGTTTTATGTCCTACCATTTTAACATGAAAAAAATGTGTTAAAGTAACTAAATATGATTGAGTAAATGTCAGAAATAGTTGCTTTATTTTTTTTCAGTGTATTTGAGACTTTCTGCATAAAGCAAAGCCTTTGATCCTCAGATTTAGTCGTTTCATT